TATCCCTTTTACTGTATTCACTTTCGTGTAATAAAAAAGCCCTTAGTTCTGACAAGAATCTAGCCGCAAGGCAGCAAGTAAAGCGAAGTGGAGGCCCAGTTCCTTGGATCAATTACTCCTCCACCATCTTTACCGACTGAAATGCAAATTTTAGTCGAACCTCCAAATTGGAGGATAAGGAAACCGGACTTCATCAGACCTCTACCCTTCAACATTCCAGGAATGATTGGATCTTCGGCTTGGCAGAAGCCATCCTGTGTAGCCCGTTGGGTCAGAGAGGAACACAAGCCATCACACCACGTCAAGGTGCGGTCTCGTTGTGATGCTGTTTATTTTCTCTAAATCTGGATTCAGGAGTATTCCCAACCCCGTGGAAACCATCAGAAGTGCTTCACATCCCCGGATGCAGCGACTACTCAGGCCCAAATATCCGCTTTCCAATCTCTCTTAGATTCTTTATCTTGAAGATTACGATCAACTCCACCGCCACCTGGAGCAGACAACGATGTTAAAAAGAGTGAGTACGGTTTCCGGTCCCGTCGATCTACTAGTGATGGAGCGCTCATTTTGAAACATAGTCAACAGCACTCAACAATCAGAAAGAAGCCCATATGATTTCTCCGGAGGAATCAAAATCTTTCCATCGTACCTGGAGTGCAGTTTCGATGGCTAAACTACTCCAGTTTGGCTTTTCTTTGCTAATAGTGTCCTGGACGGCAAGCTAGCTCAAGGACCGCGGCATCTGCGCTCGACTAGATAGGACCATGTCGCGTTCCGAACCTCTGAATCGTGTTTTCCCCCAAGGTTATATACTTTCACCGTTAGTTGTTCTGAGGTGCAGTGATGACTTTCTTTAATCTACTTCAAATCTTAGTCACACCTTTGTCGATGACATTAACCAACACTCTTATGTCCTATTCATCTTCATTCCGCCTAGCCTAGCGAGGCCTTATGTGGTTTGTTACTCCAAGTCCTGGGGCTTATGTTGCCGGCTTCCCTCACTGAACAGCAGGCCCACGTATCTATAGGGCTTTCCCCGTTTAATGATCACCAAACTAAGGTGTGAAATGAAAAAATTAACAAACAAACACCGCCAACTCCAACACTAGTGATGACAACTCCGACCTCAGTATCCCCTTAAATTCCGATCCGGATCATATTTCTGCTTAGGGCTGTCGCAACCGTGTTCTCTTTGGTGCCAATGAAAATTCACTTAAAGATGAATCTTTTTACTCTTATTAAATGTTTTCGACCAACTTTCTTCGATCCACAAATTCATACAACTTATTGGGACTATTCTTATCTTCTGTTTTATGGTCGAAGCCATATAAAGCTCAGATTCTCCATCTATTTGTATAGTAATTATTACAATACAATACAGTACAATAGTAGTCATGTGGAGTGGACCTTTGTTCACCTCTCTATCTATTCATGATCGGTTCGACGTAATTACATTCGTTTCATCAACG